GTGTGTGTGTGTGTGTGTGTGTTTCTATGTGTGTGTATGTGTGTGTATGTGTGTGTGAGAGAGAGGTACTTTATTCAGTTCCAAACAGGCAGATCTTTGCAGCTTTTATATAACTTGGAAACCACCAAGAGTGGCTGGGGAACCCAGTCAGATGGGTGGGGTACTACTACCACTACCACCACTACTATCACTTACAACTACTACTACTACTACTACTACTACTACTACTACTAATAAGCAGACTGACCAAATGGTGTCTAAAAAGGGATATGTGCATAAATGTATTGCTCAAAGGACATCAGTGTGTAGTCTCCAGGCTGGTTCATCATTGCTCAGAGTTAAGACACATGCTTTGCATGCATAAGATTCTAGGTCCATTCCATGCTATACCCACTTAAAGGATTTCATATAGGAGACTGGGGTATGATCCCTGTTTGGGGCCATGAGCAGCTGTTGCTAGCCCTGCCAGGGAAGAGAATGCTGTGATGAGCCATGGGTCCAACTCAATGAGATTTGTGACCTTGGAGTGCTAACCTCTACAGTGCCTTCCAATTGAGTGAATCTATGGTTAAAGCTTGGGATGTAGTAAAGAGGAAGTTTGATAGCTTGTCATGCTAGTTGGGGAAACCTAGGCTGGCATACTCTTTCATAAGGCAAATATAGGTGATGTGATGCCCTGAGAATAAAACAGTGATGGTTCTTCATAGCTCATCTCAGTAATGACAAGGGAAAAGCCAATGGCAAGGAATTGCTATCCTGCCATGTGCAGCGGTGTTGCTAAATGAACACATCTTTCTTTCCCTCATCCGATGGGACAGGCAAGGCAAGGAGTCTTTGTGTGAAAAAGAACAGCCTAAAGTTTTGAATGAGGCAGAAGGAGAGGGAGAGAGGGGGGCAGGCAGAGCTTTGGCCTGTGTGAGCATGTGATGAGAACTGAGCAGAGTGGGTTATGGCTATTGGAGTGCTGAAGCTAAGTTTCTCCCCCTAATAAGGACATATAAAGAATGCAGCTGGATTAGATCCATGGAACAGCTGGTTCAGCATACGGTCCTTACAATGGCCAACTGCACTTCCCATTATGGGAAGTCCTCAAGCAGGACCTGAGTGCAACTTGGGTGTGATCAACCTCTGGAGTAAATGAAAAGTGTGCATGCTCCCCTCTCAAATGTATATAGAAATGAGGAAACCTTTCTCCCCATGGCCAGCCTTCTGGCCTAACAAAAGCAGGCAGTACCAGACCAGGAACACATGCACACATAGAGGCATAACATGCATACGTGCGTAACACACTTCACACATCATGTACTCCCACAAGCCTCTATCCATACATACAGCTGAACGAGCAATCAGTGAGCTATGGCCCTTTTGCAGACCCCCATAGGAATTCCGCAGTCACTTTGAATGCTTTATGTTCTATGCCAATAGAACCCATAATCAATCCTGGTTGCTCAATACTCACTGTAACCCCTAGCCTATAAAGGAAGACCTGGAGAAGGAAGAGAATTTACAGTATCTTTCATCTCTGTGTCAATCAGTGAGCCATTGATTCAATAGCTGAAGTGAGAGGTTATAGAAATAGGTCATCAAGGGTCCTGGTCAGTTACATCTGCCTGTAACACATAAATGTTTGTGCATCGAGATGGACAGCATTCTATAGCTGCTTTCCAAATCAGGAAGTTTTTATATGAAGAATGCAGATAAACAAGACCCTCTTGTAGCAAACATGCTAATACCAACCTGGAATGTTGAGCTTTGTCTCCTACATAGCAGCTATATCATTAATCCTTGATCATCAACATTCTCCATTAGCTGGGAAGGACAACTAAAGAGGATGATTTAGAGAACAGGTGGGAACTACTTTCAGGTGGGAGTTGCAGGTGGACAGAGCTTTCCCACTGCCCTGTCTGAAATCGCCACAGAGGCTGGTCAGAACTGTGATGTATGAAAGGAGCAAGACCAGAAAGCATGGCAGAGTTAGCAAACTGCTGTTGACTACCATGAGGAACTCATAGGCATATGTGTCCACACAGCCCAGCTTGATCAGTTCCTGGGATATCACAGAAAGTTGTCCAGGACATTGGGCCCACAGAAGCTGTAAAGCCCTATTGTGCTCTGTCCAATTCCCATTCTGTAGACCTATTTATGCCAGTGCTTATTCAACCTCATTCCCATGCCTCCTACACATTCTTTTCCTTTTTTGCAACCCCCTTTCCACCTCCATTTTCACCTTCACTCTTTTTTTACTTCTCTACCTTTCTCCTTTCTCTTCTCAATTCTCTCTTTCTGTGTGATTACCATCATTTCCATACCTTTTACAAGTGCTTTTTTTCCCTAAAAAGAAATGTTTAGGCGTACTCTCATTTTTCCTATCGTATTGAAATACTGCCCTTCAATGAGACCAAACTTAGATTCACAAAATGTTTAGGGGTATGGGTACCCCTGCGTTTCCCCGGAAAAAGCACTGCCTTTTCCTATTCTGCAACCCCCTTTGTATACACAACCCATACTGTTGCTCATCTTTAATATGAGAATCTTAAGAGCAAGTTGTGACTTTGCTTATTCAGATAGAGAATTTTAAGTTCAGCTGATGGATGTTGTATATATGTGGGTGTTTAAAATATCCTTTCTAAATTACTACATTGAATCTAGAACCTCATGTTAAAGACAATAAATTGTACCAGGAGTGATGGAATAAAGGGATGTGGAATAAAGTGGTGGTTTTAAACAGTGCTTTTCTTCTAGAAAGAAAGGTGTTGATACTTCATAACCTGGAGTATCCCCAGAAAAAAGCCCTGGCTTTTAAACATGATATATTCTACTCAAACATCTTCCAGAAAAAGCTATGCAGAAGAGCAGTTCTGGAATAAATAATTCATGCATACAGAAGTGAATCAAAACTATTCCCTTCCCTTGGAAGCAAATGAAAGTTAGTCATGTTCAGTCCTTTCAATTGGTTTACTCTGAATGGGAACAACATTGGGTTTGGCTTTGGTTTACTTACTTACTTATTCCCTGCCCTCTCTCCCAAAGAAACCTATTTTATGACACACTGAGATAATTTCTTCAGTGAGCTGGCAGCTTAGAAAATATTTTTGAATGAATGAATAAAAAACCCCTGTTTCTTTTCCCCTTTTACAGGCTACATGGGGCACCTAAAAGAAAACCACACAAGAATAAATGAATTCCTCTTGATGGCCATATCCCCAACATGGGAGTCCCAAGCCATCCTCTTTGTGGTCTTCCTTCTGGTTTACACAGCTACCATAGTAGGAAATGCTGACAGTAACTTCTGACCTTTGACTGCAAACACCCATGTATTTCCGGCTTGGGAACCTCTCCTTCGTGTACCTTTGCTACTCCACAGTCACAACCCCTAAAATTCTGAGTAATGTTCTCCTGACAGGCAGAATTTTTCCTCCCTTTTCCACATAGGCAACTGAAGTATATCGAATGTCTTCTCTTTCTTCATTTTCCTCTCAAATGGGACCCCTTTGTCTAATCTCCCTGAAATCTGGCAGACCTGATATTCAGAGGCAGGAGTGTTCTGCCTGCCAACCCCATTCTGCTTCAAATCAAAGAAATCAATAGCAGAATAGAAGGAGGGACACTAGTTGTAAGAAATAATGATATCCAAAACACAAATTAACAAATCCCAAATAATTGAAATATTGGTGGAAATTATGAAATAAAGGAATTATGAAAATACTTTAAAATCTGAAATAGAAATAGAATGATGAACATTTTTGTATTCTTTCTCTAATTATTTGTATGCAAAAACACACAGTGGGTGAGATTTGCTGTGAGATTTATTTGAGCCCTAAGAGGAGATAATCCAAGACTGGTGCTACTTTACATATTCACTTTTGCAGCCATAAGCATACAGACAGGAAAGGGTTGCCTCATACTCTGCAGGATTCCAATGTAAGATCAAAAATGGTAACTATAGACTTGCACTAAGGCTCAGTCCCTTGAAGGAATTTATTTTCCAGGAGGAGAGGACAAGGAGAACTCCTCTGTAACCAACAAAATATTCTGTAAAATGAAAATATCAGAAGCCAACCACTAGGAGCATTTTAGCTTGTCCATATATGCCATCAGTTATAGGGCAAGTAACTTTTGGAAACGGATTTGTGGGCTGAATTAGGAACTCTTTTAAGCTGAATTAGGCCTGTGGGTTAAAGGATCCCCACCACTGACTGAGGAAGTGGCAGTCCCAGAAGTGCACCCCTTTGAGTTTCATGCCAACAACCTACAAAATACTAGAGAAGATGAAATTATTCATTTTTGGAATACCCCCAGAATGGAAGTGCTGCTATAGTAGAAAAACCACCGCAGCTGTCTTTCTAACCTTTGGTTAGAATCCATAGAATCCATGCTGTCAAAAGAGGTTTCTTTGTATTCATTTGTCAACCAAATCTGCCATACCCCACCTAAAGGTAATGGATGTTCACTCCATTCTGTTTCTGGAGCTTTAGAATTTAGGAATATAGGGAACTGTCTTATACTGAGTCAGACCATTGATCCGCCCAGCTCAGTATTAGCTACACTGGGAACGTCTGGGCCTGAGGGGACTTGTAGTTCAGAAACAACTGCAGAGAGCCAAAGTTTTCCCACACCTGGCGTATATAGACTGATAGCTGCTTTCAGCGGTTTCAGAGAAAGGGTCTTCACCTGAGGCCTTCTGAATGCAAAGTATATGTGTTATCATTGTGCCAGGGCCCTTTCCCAAAGTAATGAAAGCAGGTAAAGAGAAACACAGATGGTATAGTACAAGAGCCTGGACAGAGACAATTTTAAAGTACCCTTAACCAGAGAAAAGAATTAGCAGCCTATAGGTATTTTATTTTGGGTTAATCAGCTGCCGATGGTCCGTCCCCAAAGTAAGGAAAGCAGGTAAAGAGAAACACAGATGGTGAAGAACAAGAGCCTGGACAGAGACAATTTTAAAGTACCGTAAACCAGAGGAAAGAATTGGCAGCCTATTGGTATGTTATTTGGGGTTAAGCAGCTGCTGGTGGCAATGGGACAAAAGTAGGTGGCTTAGAATTATCAGTAAAAGCCAGGTCACGGCAGTACAATACGTCAACCTTGCCCAAACCCAGCTTGTATTGCCAGAAATAAATGCTCGTATTCGGAGGCAGAGTGAAGCTGACTTTTTCAGAGACTTCAGTTGCATCGCTCCATGCTTCTTCTTTGCTGTCAATCTTTGCCCCACCATATTCAGCTGTCATGGAAATTTGTGCTGTCAACAGTAATTTAGTGAGACCTGATGCCCCAACTTCAACACTCGTGGATACACGCCAGTTGTGTTCCATGCTGTGCATATCTTTCTTCTCATATCCAACCTTCCTAACAATTTGCTGTTCCCAAGCAACACTTATTTTGGCATTATTACTGACGGTTTTGACAGGCTGCCATACACCAAAAGCTTTACCATGATTTATAGACACGCCTCCAGGGAGGAAGTTGAGCACACTAGCATGGAAGGAAAATGTAGAAGGGTTTGCGTTTGAAAAGTCATCCATTCTGTGATACTCAACTCCCCATTTCCTATTTGGTTTCACAAGGTATATATGGTCCTTGAGTCCCCAGTAATACAGACCGTCTTTGGCCTTTGGGTGAAGGGGTTTCTGAACGGCATCTCGGTCTTCATGCATGTCGGTGACACGGCGGTACACTCCCTTCTTCTTGAATATAATGTAAAAGTACTTATCATGGGAGAAGTAATGGTCCCCGTTTTGGCAGTTGCGATGGAGAGTGTAGACCACACTATCAAGGTCAGCGTTCATGTTGCTTACTCGGCGGTAAGAGTTCCCCTTGATAACATAAAATAAGTCATCTCTATGGGCCAGGTAGTGGTCTCCACCACGGACAGAGTTGTGCAGACCAAATATCTCCAGGTCTCTGCCTTCATGGAAATTAGTAGATCTCAAGTAGCAGCCCAGGTCTGAACGGACAATGTAGTAATACTTGTCCACACCACAGAAATCAACTCCTTTAGTTTTGCTCTTGGGAAGTATTCCATGGACCTCTTTAGAAGGAAGAAAGAAATGGCTAGTTAGTTCTCTCACTTGGTTAATTGTTGTTCAGCGTCCTTGCACCAACCTATTCCCAATGCATATTTCTTACAGAAAAACCTGTTTTCTTATCTAGTTACAGCAAAAGCCAGTCAGAAATTGGCTCACCTGGTGTAAGTCAGGCAAAGACGATATTTCTGTGCCATCCTCTAAATGCCCTCCTGCAAGACACTCCATTCTATTCCATCTCCTGTGTGCTTTCCATTTCCCACACCCTCAACAGTCAGTCAACATTCTGTGGCAATTCAGCAAGCTTAGGTCTCACTGTGTTGTTTTCCCTCCCAATTAATTACGCCAACCCACACATTCCTGATATTTGTACTGCGAGAACCTTGGACAGTCTGTTGGACACCTTGGACACATCTGCTCTAGACACTAATGTTCTGTTTAAAAGAAACCATTACCAAGCGCAAACTGTTCAATACTCACCAACTGGAGCTGGGGCTGAAAGCCCCTGCTCACATATGCAGACCAGGAGGAACAAGAGGATTTGCTCCATCTTTCTTCTACTTAGTGCTCTGAAGCGCTGCAGCCATTTATTAAATAGCTGGTGTGAGGGGCTGTAGAGGTGGGTCCTGAAAGATCCTGGCTAATCACATGGGCATATAACACACCTGGTCTTGTGGATCCAGATGGGCAGCATTTCCTGGCTGCTTTCCAGATCCAAAGGTATGCACAATTTTATTGCAAGAGGGCAGACAAACAGGACCCTCTCATAGCAAGCATACCTCTGTTTAAGACCAAGTTGGAATGCTGAGAGTAGCCTCCCACAGAGCATCCATGGGGTTGCCCCTTGATATTTCTGCATTCCCCACTAGTCACATGGGAAATGTTGCCTGTGGTCCCTTGCAGATGACCTGTTTGTTGAGCATACATTCTCTCTTGCCTCCTGCTTCCAGAAGGGTGATGGCCCAATGGCAGGGAACCTGCACTACATGTAGAACATCCCAGGTTCAATATCCAGGATCCTCACATAGGGCTGGAAGATGTCCTGTGTCATCTAGTTACTTAACTCACTGGCTTCAGGGATGGGACATAGATATGCATTGTATAATTAATTCACATCTTCATGAACTCAAGTAATCTCAAGTCACCTGGCTATGGTTCTATGCACCAGTATTCACTGACAGGCATCTGTTGGCCACTCTGCGAACAGGAAGCTGACCTATTGTGGCTGATCCAACAGGGCTCTTCTGATGTTCTTCACTGGTTTAATAAATAATAAAAGGGGAAAAACCAGCCAAAGACCAGATCCTGAAAATGAGAGACAAAGCAAAAAGCTGTAAAATCAGTTGCGAAAAAGCAGGGAAGATACGCAGGAAAATTTCAGGAGAAGGTAGCAAAACTAGCTTTTTTATGAGTGGCTCATGCTTAAGATTTATAACATTTTGAAAAATGTATGTTGCGGTTTGGGGGATGTCCCTCCGTTGACCAATAAATTCATCCATGGGGCAGAGATCAAGTATGTCATTAACACATTGACCTGCAGAGGAACATATACCAGACCTTCATGGTTGCAAAACAATTCTGTTGTTTGCTAGGTGCAGAGATCTGTATCCAAAGTCCCTGATGTTTTGGAAGCACCCAAAGAATGGCTACCTGCCCTAAAACAGGGTTTGACTAAAAGCAGGACTTGCCTGCCCATTAGGCCATGTGAGGAGACTACATCAGGTGTCAGGATTTGCCCAATCCACCGGGCAGCGGATCTGACCCCCAACTTATAGGTGCCACTCCCACTTAGATATTTCTCCAGCTGCATCCCACCCCTCTCCTACTGTGGCCTCAGCCCTTTAGATATTTGAAAATGGCTATCATATCTCCTCTCAGTCGCCTCTTATCGAGGCTAAACATGCCCAACTCCCTCAACCATTGCTTATGAAGCCTTGACTTCCAGAGCCTTCCCCATCTTGGTGGCCTTCTGCACCGCTTCCAGCTTATCTTTATCCTTCTTATATTGGGGTGCTCAGAACTGAACACAGTACACCAGGTGTGGTCTGACCAAGGCAGAATAGAGCAGTACTATTATTTCCCTTTATCTGGACACTAGACTTGTTTTGATGCAATCAAGAATAGCATTAGCTTTTTTTGGTGCTGCATCACACTGTTGACTCATGTGATGACTGTGGTCTACCAAGACCCCTAAATCCTTTCCCCGTGTACTACCAGCAAGCCAATTGTCCCCCACCTTATATTTGTGCATCTGGTTCTTCCTGCTTAAGTGTAGAACCTTACGGAAATGACTGAGAGGAGATATGATAGCCATCTTCAAATATCTAAAGGGCTGTCACATCGATGATGGAGCAAGCTTGTTTTCTCCTGCTCCAAAGGGTAGGACCCAGACCAATGGCTTCAAGTTGCAGGAAAGAAGATTCCAACTAAACACCAGAAAGAACTTTCTGACAGTAAGAACTGTTTGACAATGGAACAGACTTCCCTTGGCAGGTTGTGGACTCTCCTTCCTTGGAGGTTTTAAAGAAGAGGTTGGATGGTCATCTTCCATGGATGCTTTAGCTAAGATTCCTGCATTGCAGGGGGTTAGGCAAGATGACCCTTGGGATCCATTCCAACACTGCAGTGCTGTGATTCTATGCTTTAATCAGGCATTGCAAAAAAGAAAGATCCAAGGTTCTTTCCTCAACATCTGAAGGTGGGGACAGGAAAAAAAAATCATACCTGCAACACTGGAGAGTCACTGCCTGTCAGTACTATACAGCGGAAAGGAGCAGCCAAGCATACTAGGACTCAATTTCTTGACTTTAAGAAAGCCGACTTCATAAAACTTAGGGAAGTGCTGGGTGAGATCCCATGGACAGTAATACTAAAAGGAAAAGGAGTTCATGATGGCTGGGAGTTTGTTAAGAGGGAGATAGTAAAAGCACAACGTCAGGCAATACCAATGAGACGGAAACATGGAAGGTGCCTAAAGAAGCCAGGGTGGCTATCTAAAGAACTTTTAACTGAGTTAAGATTAAAAAGGATGTGTACAAAAAATGGAAAAGGGGGGAAACCACCAAAGAGGAATTCAAACAAATAGCCAGCACGTGTAGACACAAAGTCAGAGAAGCTAAAGCACAGAATGAACTCAGGCTTGCTAGAGAGGTTAAAAGCAACAAAAAAGGCTTTTATGGGTATGTTCGTAGCAAAAGGAAGAAGAAAGAAACAGTGGGGTCACTCAGAGGAGAAGATGGTGAAATGCAAACAGGGGGCACAGAAAGGGCTGAATTCCTCAATGCCTTCTTTGCCTCAGTCTTCTCCGATAAAGAAAACAATGCCCGACCTGAAGAATTTGGAGCAAATGATTCAGCAGAGGAAACACAGCGCAGAATAACTAAGGAGATAGTACAAGAATACTTGGCTAGTCTAGATGTATTTAAGTCTCCAGGGCCAGATGAACTGCATCCAAGAGTATTAAAAGAACTGGCAGATGTGATCTCAGAACCACTGGCAGTCATCTTTGAGAATTCCTGGAGAACAGGCGAAGTCCCGGCAGACTGGAGGAGGGCAAATGTTGTCCCTATTTTCAAAAAAGGGGAAAGAGAGGACCCAAATAATTACCGCCCAGTCCGTCTGACATCAATACCAGGGAAGATTCTGGAGCAGATCATTAAGCAAACAGTCTGTGAGCACCTAGAAAGGAATGCTGTGATCACCAATAGTCAGCATGGATTTCTGAAAATAAGTCATGTCAGACTAACCTGATCTCTGTTTTTTGACAGAATTACAAGCCTGGTAGATGAAGGGAACGCAGTGGATGTAGCCTACCTTGATTTCAGCAAGGCATTTGACAAGGTGCCCCATGATATTCTTGTAAAGAAGCTGGTAAAATGCGGTCTTGACTATGCTACCACTCAGTGGATTTGTAACTGGCTGACTGACCGAACCCAAAGGGTGCTCATCAATGGTTCCTCTTCATCCTGGAGAAGAGTGACTAGTGGGGTGCCACAGGGTTCTGTCTTGGGCCCGGTCTTATTCAACATCTTTATCAACGACTTGGATGATGGACTCAAGGGCATCCTGATCAAATTTGCAGATGACACCAAACTGGGAGGGGTGGCTAACACCCCAGAGGACAGGATCACACTTCAAAACGACCTTGACAGATTAGAGAACTGGGCCAAAACAAACAAGATGACTTTTAACAGGGAGAAATGTAAAGTATTGCACTTGGGCAAAAAAAAAGGAGAGGCACAAATACAAGATGGGTGACACCTGGCTTGAGAGCAGTACAGGTGACAAGGATCTTGGTGTCTTGGTTGACCACCAACTTGACATGAGTCAACAGTGTGACGCGGCAGCTAAAAAGCCAATGCAATTCTGGGCTGCATCAATAGGAGTATAGCATCTAGATCAAGGGAAATAATAGTGCCACTGTATTCTGCTCTGGTCAGACCTCACCTGGAGTACTGTGTCCAGTTCTGGGCACCACAGTTCAAGAAGGACACTGACAAACTGGAACGTGTCCATTGGAGGGTAACCAAAATGGTCAAAGGCCTGGAAACGATGCCTTATGAGGAACAGCTAAGGGAGCTGGGCATGTTTAGCCTGGAGAAGAGGAGGTTAAGGGGTGATATGATAGCCATGTTCAAATATATAAAAGGATGTCACATAGAGGAGGGAGAAAGGTTGTTTTCTGCTGCTCCAGAGAAGCGGACACGGAGCAACGGATCCAAACTACAAGAAAGAAGATTCCACCTAAACATTAGGAAGAACTTCCTGACAGTAAGAGCTGTTCGACAGTGGAATTTGCTGCCAAGGAGTGTGGTGGAGTCTCCTTCTTTGGAGGTCTTTAAGCAGAGGCTTGACAACCATATGTCAGGAGTACTCTGATGGTATTTCCTGCTTGACAGGGGGTTGGACTCGATGGCCCTTGTGGTCTCTTCCAACTCTATGATTCTATGATTCTAGTATTGATTGTGCTGGCCTGGATGGACCCAATGGTCTGGCTTGGTATGAGGCATTTCCCTATACTTCTGAGTGCATTTATCATCTGAATGAGTATCAACCATAGCGTTCAACATGATAAAATAGCCACTAGCCACCAAATGATTACAGGATGTAGATAGCTTATATTTAATGGGTGCAAGTACAGTGTGTACCTGTTACTCGCAGCTAAATAATGTACTCTTCAGAGCATAGAATTCAAGTTTCTAAGGCTGTAATCCTATCCACACTTTGGGCGAGTAACATAGCTGTCAACGTTTCCCTTTTTTAAAGGGAAATTCTCTTATTCTGAATAGGATTCCTCGCAAGAAAAGGGAAAAGTTGACAGCTATGGCGAGTAAGCCCTATTGAACACAAATGAGGCTTACTTTTGCATGGAGACACTTATCCAAGCATTTGTTAAATTGATTTCCTCGTGTGTCTACATTTCTGGAGAGGAGAAAGCTTCTGATCTTTTTGCTAATGTGTGCTTTGACCCTAGTAGATAGGGGCAGTTGGCTACTCTCATTCCCACTAATTCTGGTGGTTAGGCTCTGGGTGTCCTTCATTATGTAGACA